ATATATAGTAAGAGCTCGATATATATTTGTTATTTGAATTGGATGAGGATATTTTTTCTTCTTTAGTATCTCTACTCTAAAATACATTTTGCCTTACCATATCGATCAAATAATTGTAGTATTTGGTGCCAGCGGTTCCACTCAAATAATTATTTTTGAGTAGCCTTCGATTTTTCTAATAATCTGCTGTGTTCCTCATCCTGCCCCTTCAATGTCTACTAACTATTAGTCATGAGACCACGTGTGCATTGGAGACACTATGGAGCAGTGTCTCAAATTCTAGATTCATTTTAATCTCATTTTAAAATGCATATTCCCGGGCTGCCAACCACAGTGCTCTTTAGGTCTGAGAAGTGATCTCGGAACCTGCATTTTAACAAGCACCCCAAGTGACTGAGGTGCAGGTAATCCATGGTGAATGCTTTAGAAACTGAGCCATAGATTTGATGATGCTGCCCTAGACTCCAGGACCGGCCTTAGAGCAGAAAGACAAAGAACCAGCCATTAGTTCATTGTGGGTGCAGTGATGATGGTCCCTTGCTGGGACACAGTCTTGTCTCACAAAGTCATTACTTTGTCCTCCTTCCTACTCTGTACCCCAAATCCAGCCAGTCTTGGCCTATATCTTGGTAGCTGGGTGCATGGTATTCCTGGGCTTTGCTGGCGGCTAGATGGAGAAGTGTCAATTACTAAACCCCATATGTGATGATCTGGCTGTCCACCAGATCCTCCACCCATGGCCAAACTCTGCTGAACGCCTCCAGCGGCTACTGCTTCCAAGTCTTCTTACTCTCTATCTTGCCCATGCAGGTTTTCTGGATGGCTCTTCCCCACACTAAAACCTCACTCCTCATGACAGACAGTCCTGACTGAACATGCTGATGACCCTTTACCCAGAACTAGCCAACAGGAATAGGATAATCCCCAGTCTGGCTAGAATGGAGGTCATACCTGCTCATTAACCTAAGTTTAACATGAGAGAATTCAGAAGAGGAACATTAAAAGTGAGAATAAAATGATGGTTGCCAGAGGGAAGGGAGGTGAGGGAATGGATGAAATGGGTAAAGGGGATTGAGAGATACAAGCTACCAGCTGGAAAATAAATAAGACATGGGGATACAGTGTACAACATAGGGAATATAGCCCATAATATTCTAACAACTTTGCATGATGACAGATGGTAACCAGACTTATTGTGGTGACCATTTTGTAATGTATACAAACATTGAGTCACTATGCCGTACAGCTGAAACTAATGCAACATTGTCTGTCAATTATTCCTTGACAGAACAGAAAGTGAGAAACAACTCAAAATAACATAATCTTTGTTGCATACAGCCTGTTGTCAAGAATAGCCCAAAATAAATGCAGATTGAAATTAAAGTGTTCTCATTTGGCCTTCAGGCTGGTACAGTGAGTTGGGGTTAGAACACCCTTATTTCAAAAGAACCCTGTGTAGACCCTCGTTTACCATGCTGAAATAATGGAGACCAAAGCAGGGCTGTCCCTCCATCCAATTCCCTTCCAGAGGGCCTTTATGTAGCCAAGGAGGACAAGTAAGTTGTACCTAACTAAGTGCAGTTAGCCACTGTCAGCGGGAGTGAGCCAGTTCGATGAGATGGATCATGTCCAAGGAGATAAGGCATGGCCCAACCAGGGATGTGTTTAGACAGGACTTATTAAAAGACTATAGGCTGAAATGAAGGCTGCAGACAAGACTAGCGCCTTCCTAAATTGTTACTTTACCTCTTGTGAGCTGAAATATTATCTCTGAATACAAGAGGAAGCTTCAGCTAAGAATAGAACAGTCTAGGAGCACCTGGGTGGTGCAGTTAGTTAAGAACCCGATTCTTGGTTTCGGCTCAGGTCATGATCTCAGGGTAGTGAGATGGACCCCCACATCAGGCTCTGTGCTCCGTGCAAAATCTGCTTGAGATTCTCTGTTCTGTCGCTCTGCTCCTCCTTTTCATGCTCTCTCTCTCCTCCCCCTCCTTCCCTTTCTCTCTAAAATAAATAAATAAATCTTTTTAAAAAAATAATACAACAGTCTAAAGATTTCTTCTCTATTCTGGTTCATTCATTTATTTAACAAACAGGATTTTTTTTTTTAATTTTCTATATGTCTCAGGCCTCAACCCTTATGGGGCTTACCATCTCGTAATAGAGTTTAGGTTATGAATTTAGCTTGAACACAGATCCACCCGGGACTTTAATTCTCTCACCTATCTGTATGAGGCGAAAAAACACTGTGGATATTACAGTGATAGGCGGTAGACGTAGTAAGAATTGCCCCCCCAAGGAAGCCAAGCCTCAATTCACTTTCCAATGGGAAAACAGAGCTTGAAGCTTATGGTAAAGGTGCTAGGCAACAGGACGAAAGGATGAAGGTGCCCACAGATTAAAGAGAAACCTTCCCATGGACACCATAAAGCAAACCAAGTTGTCTTGGATGGCACAGATTCGTCTTAGGGTTCCATTATGTCCTGTCCTTGTTTTACTAGGCGTTGAAGAGTAATTGAAATACCAGGTGCTATGTAAGTTAATACTTATATTAGCTTAAACCAGTGGTTCAGCCACCTGGACAAACTGCTAAAGCACTGCTTGCTCAGCAAGACCCCCTGAGTTTCTGACTCAGTGGGTCTGCAATAGGACCTGGGGATTTGCAGAACTCGTAAGTCCCAGGTGTTGCTAATGCTGCTGGTCTGAGGACCACACTTTGAGACCCACAGGCTTAAACAGACTTCTAGAGGAAGCTTGAGAAATGTTGTTCCACAAAGCAACGTAGACAGCATCACTAGATTTAAAATCTTTCAGTGCCTGTTGTTTCTCTGACTACAAAATAATAATGTGTACTACAAAAAAAAAAAGTTGTAATAAAAAAAGCAATAAATTCAGGGGCGCCTGACTGGCTCAGTCGGTGGAACATGTGACTCTTGGTCTCAGGATGGTGAGTTCAAGTCCCACATTGGGTGTAGAGATCACTAAAAAAAAAAATAATAATAATAAATAAACTTTATAAAAAAATTCATAAAACAACCTAAGTAAATGTAAAGCCTCGCAATGATAGCCATTGATGATACTGCTGTGCATTCTTATAAATTTTTCTTATGTATATGTTTATACATTTTTACATATATAATCTTCTCTCGTGTATATATATGTAATATATATAAAATATATATATAAAACATTGGAATATATAATATATGTATAATGTAATATATATAAAAGATTGGAATCATCTTATACATATTATTTGTAACATACCTTTTCACTTAATAGTATTTTGTAAACATCTTTTTTTTTTAAGATTTTATTTATTTATTTGACAGACAGAGATCACCAGTAGACAGAGAGGTAGGCAGAGAGAGAGAGAGGAGGAAGCAGGCTCCCTGATAAGCAGAGAGCCCGATGTGGGATCCCAGGACCCCGGGATTATGACCTGAGCCAAAGGCAGAGGCTTTAAACCACTGAGCCACCCAGGTACCCCTATAAACATCTTCTATGATCCAGCAATTGCACTACTAGGTATTTATCCAAAGGATACAAAAATACTGATCAGAAGGGATATATGCACCCCAATATTTATAGCAGCATTAGCAACAATAGAAAATTATGGAATGAGCCCAAATGTCTATCAACTAGATGAATGGGTAAAGAAGATGTGGTACACACACACACACACACACACACACACAGGAATATTACTCAGCCATAAAAAAAGAATGAAATCTTTCCATTTGCAATGACATGGATGGAGCTAGACAGTATTATGCTAGGCAAAATAAATCAGTCAGAGAAAGACAAATACCATATGTTTCACTCATAGTGGAATTTAAGAAACATAACCAATGAACATAGGGAGAAAAAGGAAAAAAATAGAGGCAAACCAGAAAACAGACTCTTAACTATAAACAATAAACTGGTGGAGGGAAGGTGGTGGGGAAATGGGTTAAATGAGTGATGGGGAAGAAGGAGGGCTCTTGTGATGAGCCCTGGGTGTTGTATATAAGTGATAAATCACTAAATTCTACACAGGAAACTAATATTACCCTGTATGTTAACTAACTAGAATATAAATAAAAACTTGAAAAAAAAAATCTTTCTACGCCATACCGTTCTAGAACATGATTTGCTGTATCCTCTGAATAGAGGTACTATAGTACATTTAAACTGTTCCCATTTGCAGGACACTTAGGTTGTTTTGCCAAGTCCTTCCTGTTAAAACAGTATCAGCATAAATATTCTAATAAATCTTTATGCACGTCCTTAATTATTTTCTAAAGACAATTTCCCAGAAGAAAAATTCCCAAGTCCACAGTTATATAGATTTTGAAGGCTTTTAATACATTCTGCCAGAATACTGTTCAGTGAAATATCGGATCAATTTACACACCCACCAGCACTGTGCGGGGATCTTCTCACACTTTCACATAACACCAAGCATGTTTTCCTTTCCCAGATTAATAAAGGGAAAGTGATATCTTACTTATATTTTTAGTTACAGTGGGGTCCATAGTAGTATCCCATTCAGTGATTTCCTACTTTCATTCGTACCTTCGAAAATCTAACTCATCACAAAGCAATTTTTTTGTTTGAGAGTTTACGTGTTTGCTGTTTCATAGAACCCAGCCTGCCTTTCGTCTTTGTCACGGACAAACAAACAAAAATCTCAGAGCAGAACAACTTTTGTTGTATTATGTAAACTTTGAGAAAATAAACTTGTTATAAAACTCTGTATTTTGGATCTGTCTGATGTGATATGCAAACTCAATTTTCATTACATGAATTTATTATAACTACAACGTAATTAATCTAACTACTTATTAACTAATGCATGGGAAAAAAGTATCCACCATGATTAAAAGAGAAAAGTTATAGAACAATGTATCTTGTTTCTAGTTACTATTCAATAAATATTAAACTGAACTACACAATGTGAATACTAAAATGAATTTTCTTGGTGATACACTAATCTGAACTTTCTTGTGGATACACAGGGACTGTTAGGTGAAAAGTATGGGAACATTCGAATCCCTGGAGAAGTTGAAGCCTCAGAGTTTGAAATGATTTTGGATGCCGCCATAGAGGCAAAGCTGGACACCAAGCTTCTGGAAGAGTGGTACTGTCGCGATGAGAACTCAGTGCCAGCAGCTTATTACCTCAGACCTAAATCGGAAATGCTGAAAAGCAATAAAAATGCAGTGAGTTATCTTTCTCTCCAAAATATGTTCGTGTCTATTACTTTTAGCCATCGGTCATCCACAGAAAAGGCACAGCAGACAGAAAATTACTCTTCCCTGGACCCTACATTTCTTTGTAACAACAAAATCCAAAGCTAAGAAACTTTCCAATTTTTGACTTACCTTTCTTTTCGGCCTCTCAGACTCTCCTCCTGGAGTTATTTCCTTCCTTTGGAAGCTTCACTAATGGAGGTCTATTGGTGATAAACTGTGTTTACCTGAAAATACTCTTATTTTTCCCATTTTGCCATAATGTGTCTACAATATTCTGAATTACTGGTATATGTCATGCTTCCTATATTCATGAATTCATGTATTCTATCTGTTCTGGAAAGTTCTCAGTTAACATCTCATCAAATAATGTCTTTCCTCAGTTCCCTCTGTTCTTTCTTTTTTGTACTATAATTGAGTTCACACTGGACCATCGCAGTCTGTCCTCCATTTCTCTTGATTCTCTTTCATATTACCAATTTTCTTAGCTCTCCATTCTGCTGTCCAGAGGACTATTTTAGGTCTTTTCCAATTCAGTATTTTTTTTTTCAGCTGTGTCCACTCTGTTCATGCATTAAGCTTTCAACAGTTATATTTTTGATTTGTGAACACTTTTGGGAAGAGAGGGCTTTTTCGAATCTGCCTAGCTATTTTTAAAGTCTCTCATTTTTTAATTCAATTATTTTTCCTTTAATATTTCATACATAGTTTATATTCTTGTATCTTATGTAGAATCCTGGAGTGAGGTTGATTCATGCATTTGTATAATGGAAATAGTATCAATGTCTCCTCTCCAACTTGGTTCCTAAATGTATTTACCATGTATCCCCTGAAACAGAATAAAGGAGGAAGAGAAAAGGGGTGGGCCTTTTCCTTGCATAGGATTCCTAGAGAGATTGAAAAGAAGGCATAGATATCCATCCCTTTTCCAAAGAGAACATCCTTGATACATTCAGTGACAAGGCATCTCTGAGAGGACAGCTCTGACTTGGCAACAGTTCATTTAAGAACCTTGAGTACTTCTCATTCTGATATTTTAGCATACAGCATTTTCTGCATGCAATATGAAATCATGTCAGGATCCTTAATTTTTCTTCTTCCCCCCCATGCATTATTCAAAGTACTTATCTGCAAAAATCTGTCTCTATGGCTAGGAATCTTAGGGTAAATCCAAACCATTCCTCAGTTAAATATGCCAGGAGTCCATGTATTGCTGGTAAATGTAGATATCAAAAAACCTAATATCTTAAGAAGCCAGGTTTAGACAGTGGTTTGGGAGCCCTTGCTTGTATGTTACAATATATTTGGCTTGAGGTATTCCTGTGTCATTCTAAGATCCTCCAGGGAAATTTAAGTTATTCTCTAAGTCCCACCTGATATTTCTTCATAAATTATTGTTAAATAAGTGAATGCATGAATAATATAATCATCAAGATTCTATAAGTGTTACTTGTTTGGTTGGTGGTGCTCCCATTTGATTTCCTAGAGAATCAGAAACAAATCAAGAGACAACTAAAGACAATTAAATGGAAACATAAAAGCACCTGTCCTTTAACTTCCTGTTCTCTTTAGAGGATACTAAAGACATCATTTTGTTATGACATTTGTATCAAAACCCAAGAGGGACTTGCTACTCAATCTGCTGGCAGTGCACCATGACCACAAGTTCTCCTGAGGACTCGCCCACTCCAAACCTGCTAGCCTCGGTGCTGAGCTTAAGGCAGATTTTGTTAAAGCCATGCACACGCCACATTGTCACCTGGTCCACAGCTGCCAGCACACCATGCCCAGCCATGCAACCCCAGCCATCATCTCACACCAGGCCTAGGCATATCTAACCATCATCACACAACTGCCCCCCAGCCTCCTGTCCCTAGCCACCCAAGGATGTAGCCCTTAGTTAGCACTTTGGAGATCTGGCATATGACTAGGGGCCCGGTCCAAATTTTGCTAATACCACCACCCCTATCTCAATTTCCCCAGCGGTCTTGCCCCCTAAGAATTGGTCTGCCTGGGTCCCACTAATACCCCTGAGGGCAAGCACAGCCCACATCAGGCAATGAGACAGTGCAGATGACTGCATTGAAAGGAAAAGTGATTCCAACACAACAGCAGGGCATAAGCAACACAGACAGGATACTCTACTGAAGAGTCAAGTTCTGGTGAACACGGGCCACTGTGCTGCAAGGGACTTCACAACCTCTTCTTCATAGAGTCACTACTTTCAAGAGCAGAAGACATAACTGACTTTCTTAACACAAAGAAACAGACACAAAAAGGCAGACAAAATGAGGAGACAGAGAAATTTACCCCAAATGAAAGAACAAAACAAGGCCACAACCTTATTTCTAAGTGAAACAGATCTAAGTAACATGCCTGATAGAGGATTTAAAGCAATGATCATAAGATATTCACTGGACTTGAGAAAAGAGTGGAAGACGTAAGTGAAACCTGTAACATAGAGATAAGGAATAACATAGCAGATAACATAAAGGGTTCAATAAATGAAATGAGAAACACACTTGATGGAATGAACACCAGGATGGAAGAAGCAGAGGAATGAATTTCTGACCTAGAAGACAGACTAATGGAAAGGAATCAAGTCCAACATAAGAGGAAAAAAAAAAAAAAAGAATTATGCAAAATGAGAATAGACTTAGGGAATTCAGTGATTCCATCAAACCTAATTATCATTCATATAATAGAGGTCTGAGAAGAAGAAGAGAGAGAAAAGGGGACAGAAAATTTATTTGAAGAACTAGTAGATGAACACTTCCCTAATCTGGAGAAGGAAACAAATCCAGATCCAGGAGACACGGAGAACACCCATCAAAGTCAACAAAAGCATACCCGCACTAAGACATGTTGTAATTAAATTGGCAAAATCTAGTGTTAAAAAAAGTTTTTTTAAAGCAGCAAGACAAATAAGTAACTTACAAGGGAAAACCCACAGAGCTAGCACGAGGTTTTTCAACAGAAACTCTGCAAGCCAGAGGAAAATGGCATGATATATTCAAAGCGCTAAATGGGAAAGATCTTCAGGCAAGAATATTCTTTCCAGCATGGCTATCATTTAGAATAGGAGGGATAAAGAGTTTTCCAGAAACACACAAACTAAAGGAGTTCATGACCATTAAACCAGCCCGCCACAAAATATTAAAAAGGGCTCTTTGAGTGGAGGAAAGAGACCAAAATTGACAGCATAAAGGTAAGAAAAACAAAAGCAGTAAATGTGAATATTTCTATTAAAAAATCAGCCAAGGAATTCAACAAAAGAGGATATAAAATATAATAACATATACCTAAAATGTGGGGAGGACAGGAAAAAAGAATGGGTTCAAACTTAAATGACCATCAATTGAATATAGACTGCTATATGAAATGAGGTTATATACAAACCTAATGGTAACCACTAATAAATATGCAAGGAATAAAGAGAAGGAAATCCAAATATATCACTGAAGAAAATCAGCAAAACATGAAAAAAAGATAAGGAAGGATCAGAGAAACTCTTTAGAAGCAACCACAAAATACATACTAAAATGGTAATAAATACGTATCTATCAATAATTACTTTGAATGTAAATAGACTAAGTGCTCCAATCAAAAAAAAAAGGTGACAGAATAGATGAAAAACAAGACCCATATGTATGCTGCCTGAAAGAGACTCATTTTAGATCTAAAGACACCTGCAGATTGAAAGTGAGGGGATAGAGAAAGATCTATTATGCAAATGCATGTCAAAAGAAAGCCAGACTAGCAATACTTATATTGGACTTTAAACAAAGACTGTAACAGGAGAAAAAGAAGGTCCCTATGTAATAATAGAGAGGACAATCTAACAAGAAGAAGATATAAGAATTGTAAATACTTATGCACCCAACAGAGAAGCACCCAAGCACATAAAATCGTTCATAACAAACAAAAGGAACTAATAGATAATAACACAATAATAGTGGGGGACTTTAACACCCCACTTACATCAATGCACAGATCATCTACACAGAAAATTAACAGCAAAACAATGGCTTTGAATGATACACTGGAACAGATGGATTTAACAGATATATTCAGACATTCCTTCTTAACACAGCAGAACACACATGCTCTTCATGTGTGAAAATGGAACATTCTCCAGAATAAATCATATACTATCCCACAAAAAAAATCAAAAAATACAAGAATATTGAAGTCATAGCATGAAACTTTTCTGACCACAATGCTATGAAACTTGAAGTCAATTATAAGCAAAAATCTGGAAAGACCGCAAATACAAGGAGGTTAAGTAGCACGCTACTAAACAATGATTGGATCAATCAGCAAATAAAAGAAGAAATAAAAAATACATCAAAGGGAAGTTTTAAAAACATAGTCTACCTCAAGAAGCAAGAAAAATCTCAAACAACCTAACTTTACATCTGAAGGAGCTTGAGAAAGAAAAACAAACAAAACCTAAAACCAACAGAAGAAAAGAAATAGATAAGGGCAGATTATATAGAAACTAAAAACAAACAAAAAAACAAACAAAAACCACACACACACACACACACACACACACACACACACACACAATAGAACAGAGTAACAAAACTAGGAACTTGTCCTTTGAAAAAACTCAGTAAAATTGATAAACCTCTATCCAGACTTATCAAAAAAATAGAGAAAGGACTAAATAAATAAAATCACAAATGAGAGAGAAGAAATAACAACTGATACCACAGAAATACAAACAATTATAGAAGAATATTACGAAAAAATATGTGCCAACAAATTGGATAACCTAGAAGAAATGGATAAATTCTAGAACCACTTAAACTACCAAAACTGAAATGGAAGAAATAGAAAATTTGCAGACTGATAACCAGCAATGAAACAGAATCCAAAAAAAAAAAAAAAAAGAAAGAAAGAAAGAAAGAAAAGAAAAGAAAAAGAAAAAGAAAAAGAAAGGAAAAGAAAAGGAAGGAAGGAAAGAAGGAAGGATATCAGTAAGCAAAACAAAACAAAAAAATACTCCCAACAATCAAAAGTCCAGAGCCAGATGGTTTCACAGGGGACCACTTTCAAACATTTATAGAAGAGTTAATACCTATTCTCAAACTATTCCAAAAACTAGAAATAGAAAGAAAACTTCCAAACTTATTCAATGAGGCCACTATTATCCTGATACCAAAACTGGATAAAGACACCACTAAAGGAAAGAACTACAGGCTAATATTACTAATGAACATAGATACAAAAATCCTCAATAAAATAATAGCAAATTGAATTCAACAATACATTAAAAAGATCAGTCACCACAATCAAGTGGGATTCATTTCTGGGTTGCAAGTGTAGTTCAGTATTCACAAATCAATCAACATGATACACCACATTAATAAGAAAAAGGATAGGAACCATATGGTCATTTCAGTAGATACAGAAAAAGCATTTGACAAAGCACAACATCCATTCATGATAAAAACCCTCAACAAAGTACATTTAAAAGCCGTATATGAAAAACCCATAGCTAATATCACCCTCTATGGGGAAAAAGTGAGGTTTTCCTCTAAGGTGAGAAAAAAGGTAAGATTGTCCACTCCCACTACTTTTATTCAACACAGTATGGGGAGTCCTAGCCACAGCAATCAGACAAGAAAAAGAAACAAAAGGCAAATTAATAAGGAAGAAATCAAACTTTCACTATTTGCAGGTGACATGATACTATATAGAGAAAACCCGAAAGACTCACCAGAAAACTGCTAGAACTGGTACACAAATTCAGTAAAGCCACAGGATACAAAATCAATGTACAGAAATCTGTTACATTTCTATACAGCAATAATGAAGCAACAGAAAGAGAAACTAAGAAAAAAATCCCATTTACAATTGCACCAAAAATAATAAGATACCAAGGAATAAACCTAACCAAAGAGGTAGAAGAACTATACTATGAAAACTATAAAGCACTGATGAAAGAAATTGAGGATGACACAAATAGAAAGACATTCCATGCTCATGGGTTAACAAATATCGTTAAGATGCCTATGCTGTCCAAAACAATCTACACATTTAATGCAATCCCTATCAAATTACCAATGCTTTTTTCACAGAACTAGAACAAACCATTCTAAAATCTACATAGAACCACAAAATACCCTGAATAACTAAAGCAACATTGAAAAGGAAAAGCAAAGCTGAAGGCATCACAATTTTGGACTTCAAATTATATTACAAAGCTATAGTGATCAAAATAGTATGGTACTGGCACAAAACCAGACCCATAAATCAATGGAACAGAATAGAAAATACAGGTATAAACCCAGAATCAATTGATTTTCAACAAAGCAGGAAAGAATATCCAGTGGGAAAAGGACAGTCTCTTCAACAAATGGTGTTGGGAAAACTGGACAGCAACATGTAAAAGAAAGGAATGGGACCATGTTCTTACACCATACACAAAAATACATTCAAAATCGATTAAAGACCTAAATGTGAGACCTGAAGCCATAAACTCCTTAAAGAAAACATAGGCAATATCCTCTTTGACATCAGTCATAGCAACTCTTTTCTAGGTATGTTCCTGAGGCAAGGGAAACAAAAGGAAAAATAAACTATTAGGACCATATCAAAATAAGAAGCTTCTGCACAAGAAAGAAAACAATCAATAAAATTAAAAGGCGACCTATGGAATGGGAGAAGATATTTGCAAATGACTTACCAATAAAGGACTGATACCCAACATGTATGAAGAACTTATAAAATCCAAGACCCAAAGAACAAATAATCCAATTAAAAAATGGGCAGAGGACATAAACAGACATTTCTCCAAAGAAGATATACAAATGGTCAACAGACACATGAGAAGATCCTCAGCATCACTCATCATCAGGGAAATGCAAATCAAAACCACAATGAAACATCACATCACACATGTCAAAATGGCTAAAACCAACAAAACAAGAAACAACAGGTGTTGGCAAGGATGTGGAGAAAGGGAAACCCTTTTGCACTATTGGTAAGAATACAAAGTGGGGCAGCACACTGTGGAAAACAGTATAGAGGTTCCTTAAAAAGTTGAAAATAGAACTACTGTATTACCCAGCAATCACACTACTGGATATTTACCCAAAATACAGAATATTAATTCAAAGAGATACTTAAAGAGAAACTTGCATCCCTATGTTTATAGCAGCATTATTTACAATAGCCAAGATATGGAAGCAACCTGAATGTCCATGGATTGATGAATGGATAAAGAAGCTGTGGTATACATATACAATGGAATATTATTTAGCCATAAAAAATGAAATCTTCCCATTTGCAATGACAGGGATGGAGCTAAAGATTATTATGCTAAGTGAAATAAGAGAAAGACAAATACCATACGATTTCAATCATGTGTGGAATTTAGGAAACAAACCAAATAAGCAAAGGGAAAAAGAAAGAGGAGGAGGGAACAGGGGCAAGGAGAGAGAGAGAAACCAAGAAACAGACTCCTAAGTACAGAGAACAAACTGATGGTCACCAGAAGGGGTAGAGGAAGGGTGAAATAGGGGGTGGGGATTAAGGAGTGTACTTGGGATGAGCACCAGGTGTTGTATGGGTGTTGAATCACAATATTGTACACCTGAAACTAATATAACTAGCTGAAACTAAAATTTTAAAAAAATGTTTTAAGGGAAATACACAGTACAACAAAAAGCCCAACAAACAAATTCTGTGTAATTTGGGCAAATTCACATATTACATGGAGATAATTTCTAATGTTCAGGGTTACTGGGGGCACTGGCCTGTTAAGCACCTACCATAGTATTGGCACATAGTAGACCTTCAAATAATAGTGCTTTTCTTGTGCTTAAATTTTGTTATTTTTTTCCTTTGATGATTTTAAGACTAGTGTCTCACTTTTTACGTCTTCATAGATGCAGCCTCCTGCCAAAGCTGACAATGAGAAGACCTGGCAAGAGATATCAGATGAGATCAAGAAGATATTTAAGGCTGCCGTAAAACTGTTACATGAAAAGGGGAAAATGAAATATAACCAAGCTAAGAGGTACCTGTTCTCAGGTAATTTTGACACATCCTCCATAAACTAAGGAACAGATAAGTAATAGACACATTCACTGCTTCCCTTTTATGGGTCTACAAATTTAATTTCATTTACTGCCCAATGAAATTTAATTTTCTAAATATGTCCTTCTCCTCCAGAGGCAAGTGTTCTTTTCTTTAAACCAATAGTAAGCCTTCACTTAATTTGAGGACTTCTCCAGAACACGTGATTTTAAAAAAAGAAGTCAGAGGAGGCTGGGTATATTAGACCAGACTCTGCCAGTATTCTGAGTTCATTCATTTATTCTGTTCACTCATTCATTCAGTCACTCACTCAGCAAACATTTATGGAGAGCCCGCTATGTGCCAGGCACTGGGGATACACCAGTGAACACGAAGGCAAGGTCTCTCTCTCTCTCTCAGAACTTATTTTTTAGTGGGGGGAAAATAAATGATAGGCAAGTAATCAAATAAATGAAGGGGATCATTTCAGAAAAGTTACACGATATGAACAAACAAGACAGAGTAAGAGGGGCTGATGAAGGATGTGGGGTTCCAGGTGTAGAAGGAGTGGGCCGTCAGGAGAGGACTTTGAGCTGAATGACAGAAATTGTCAGAGCCGACTGTGCTCTATCTCAGGCAGAGAATTCCAGGCAGAGGGATTACCAGACTCAAGATCCCTGAGACAGAAATGTGCTTAGTAAGTTCTAGGAGCAGGAAGAAGGAGAAGGTAGCCAGGCCTGGGGAAGGAGAGAGGAAGACATAATAAGAACCTTATGTTTTATTCTGGGTAAGCTGGGAAGGCACTGGAGGTTCAGAAATAAAGAAATAAGGGAGTGGCAGGATCCAATTTAACCTTAAAGTAAAAATCTACTGAGCAGAGACTCATCTGTCAGCCTTTCTTAGCCATAGAAAGGAGGCTTTATTTTTAAAGGATGCACAGGAAACCACAGAGCTGAAGGAATGTATCAGTAGTACTTTCCAGGGGACAAAGACAATTGAGTAAAAGTAATCAGATATACAACATTTACTTTTAAAATTGAAGGCAAAGGGGCACCTGGGTGGCTCAGTAGGTTAAGTGCCGACTCTTGATTTCATGATCTCATCAGGGGGGCGGCGCAGGAAGGGGATGGTGGTGTCGTGAGATCAAGTCCAGCATCACATTGGACTCTGCACTCAGCAAGGAGTCTGCTTAAGAGTCTCTCTCCTGGGTGCCTGGGTGGCTCAGTGAGTTAAATCCTCTGCCTTCGGCTCAGGTCATGATCCCAGGGTTCTGGGATCGAGCCCCACGTCCAGCTCTGCTCAGCAGGGAGCCTGCTTCCCCTTTTCTCTCTGCCTGCCTCTCTGCCTCCTTGTGATCTCTGTCTGTCAAATAAATAAAATCTTAAAAAAAAAAAAAAAAGATTCTCTCTCCTTCCTCTGCCCCTCCCCTGACTCTCTAAAATAAATAAATACAATCTTAAAAAGTGATCGTGAAGAGTTATTGAGGAAAAAGCAATAACAGTTGGGTTTTCAGATTGGTTTCGTGAGAGGCATGACAAAGTGAGAAACCTAAAAGGCACTCGATATCATTCTCCCTGTATACGTGTACTTCAAGCTCAGGGCAACTATAAGTAATTTTGACAAATTCATTCTTGACAAACTAGAAAAAGTTAGGTCTTATTTTAGGTGTCCCTGAAAATAATAAATTGGCAAAAATAAGTACTACCTTTAGAATATACAGACTGACAAATCTTATTGCTTTGGAGGGGTTTTTATCCAATTTGGGGACTCTGGTTCTTCATTTTTATCAAGAACAAACCTACCATGGTCCTTAAAATGTGCTGTGTTTGAAGAAAATGCCCAGAACAAAACTTTCCTATTCTTTTTTTTTTTTTTTAAGATTGTCTTTGTTATTATTTGACAGAGAGAGAGTGTGTGCGCACAAGCAGGGGAAGTGGCAGGTGGAGGGAGAAGACCCTGGGATCATGACCTGAGCCAAAGGCAGACACTTAACCGACTAAGCCACCCAAGTGGCCCAAAGCTTTCTTATTCTTGATGTAAGAGACCCAGTTTGGGGAGCACAACCTCTTTAGAATCACGCAGTTCCAGTGTTCACGTATTTCACTGGAAAACGCTTTCTCCTAATTTTCTCTACACTAAAAAGCTCTGTCCATGTAGCCAGCCATATACAGATAAATAAGTTTATACTATGTAGTATGAACTACAACAAGTAGGCTGTTTTCTGTTTGGGGGACATCTCTTAGAGTTATGCATGCTCGTAACAATGTTATTGATTTTACATTTCAAACTCATTTTGAGATCATGCCTACACAATTAAAATGGCTGGAGAAGTGCCAGTTCTATGAAATGGATTACTACATCCGTATTACTTTAATATTTTCAGAAATGTTGGAATAAGAATACCAGGAAAAGTCTGGAAAGGTGAACTCTTTATATCTGAAAGTAGTTTTTCACACTTTTTTTAAAGATTTATTTATTTACTGAGAGAGCACGCGTGCACACACGCACATACACACACGGGTAGGGAGAGGGACAGAATTAAAGGGAGAGAGAATCTTAAGCAGACTCCGCACTGTGCATGGAGCTCGACACAGGGCTCCCCATCCCATGACTCTGAGATCATGACCTGAGCCAACGGTCAGCTGTTTAACCAACTGAGCCACCCACGTGCCCCTAATTTTTCACACATCTACTTTCTCCTTTATAAAAAACAGGAGAGGAAGAGAAATACAATAGACCCCAAAATATTGCCCAACTGTGAACGGTAAAACTAAATTGGGATTTACTTCTCATGAATGATCACCGTCAGGGCTGGAACTCTCCTAATGTTATCTCCATCGGGTGCCATGACCAGTTAATCTTTAGGATACTTAGAAAAATGCAAGGACAGAAAACAAATATTGTATTCTGATAAGGAATGGGAAGTTTATAATATTTATAGGCCAATAAATATCAGAAATTATCAATAAAAGTCCCCCCAAAATCATGAGGATGCCCTTGGCGTCTAGAAAGAACTCTATAAAGTTGACTTTGTCTCACATGACTCATTTTTTCAGGTGTATTTATGAAGTCTATACCATCAATAGGCATTATGTACAGCTTCTTTTTTTCCCGCCCTGAGCGAAGCTTAGATGGGTTCTACCGACTTGGTTTGTCTCTATGTCTTTTTACAAAGCACTTGTAATCAACACTCCTGATTGGCACATTGTTTCCATGGAGGTGGTAACAGTGACAGTTATGTTAGAGTTGATTTGTTTCCTGGGAGTCAGAGGGGCCGGTGCAGTGTCTGGTTATCAGCCATTAGGTATACAACTGACACTTCCTTTCTCCTGGTCCATGGAAGGTAGCGCCCAGTTCATCCAAGGTGCCTCCTAGCATGGTTCGTAGATGCTGGAAAAGAGATGAGCCAAAGGCTGCTTTCTGGGGATTTCTTACATCTTGACTTGTCTACATTAAAAGAAGAGTAGATACACATTGTATAAACTCCTTTGACTGGCCTCCTTAACCAGCCTGTCTGATCAAAACCCTTCATAATGTGGACTGATGACTATAGCACAGCTCCCTCCATGCTGATGGCTATAAACAGATCATTTTTACTAGAGTTATTGCTTTTGACTGATGGCTATCATTCCCAAAAAAAAATCATCATCACTTGAGTTCTAAAAGGCACCACTTAAAAATACAGTTCCCACCTTCCTTAATAGTCACAGTAGAGAATACACGTACGTTTCGGGTTTTGTTTGATGTTGGAGCTGAGGCCAGCACACTGAAATGTTTTCAGTTTCTGGCCAGCCTGTCCTGGCATATTCAGGGCCCACCCCAACCCTGCTTGCTTCTTCCATCAGATCACTGCCTAGGAGTCACCTCCTTAGGAAAGCCTTCCCTGACTTCTCCAATGGGGTAGCCCTCCTGATTGTTTGCTTTCACTGTACCATGTTATTCTCCTTCATGGGACTAAAAGCACTCATAATCCATTCATCTGTGGGACTCTGGGCTTCATGTCCACCATCCTCCACTGGACTAGAAGTGCCATAAAGGCTTTCCCCCTCAGGGTTGTCTGTTTTCTCTCCCCACTGTATCCTGACTAACCAGCAGCGTGCCTGGCACAGAGTAGATGCTCAGTTAAGACCAACCGGTTGAAGGAAAGTGGGGGAGAGTGAGGGAAGGCAGCCAGTTTTAAAAGACTGCATGCCTTAAAGTTCATTGCCATTGGTTTAATTATTTATTCCTTTTTATTTTTCCCTCTATAAAATCATGCACAAGTGATGTTTGTGTTACTAATGCTCCCATTTTAAATGTTCTCATGGGGCCTCAGTGATTAATGATGTATATTTGCTTGCGTAGAAGCCAATGTGTTGTATGACCCGGTTTATCTTTGAAGAAATGCATTTTCACACTAAGTCATTGTTCTGTACCTGCTCTGCTGGATATAATGGAATTTAACAGTGATATGGATAATTCAGATTGATCACTAATCAGAACATGATCAAATGTTGAGCATGCTTGTATATAACCCTTGACACGTCTGTCTGGGGGTACAGTGCACCCTCAAACAAAGTGGTGAAGCCACATGGTAAAGGAGAGAGTGACAAGGCAAAAGTCAGCGAGCTAGGTCATTTGGCCTCTTCCTCATTCTTTCCTGGCCCCAGCAGGTCCCTGCTCTTCACTATTAGAACCCCTTAAATCTGACAGAGAAACATAACAGGAACTTAAAAGAATCAACTATAAATTCAGGATGCTTTCTTTCTTATGCTTTCAAGCTCTCCCTCTGACTGGGTAGGAAACGAATTTTAATTAAAACCCATTGTACTGGGTTCCTGGCTGTCTAGGTAAAGAGATAGGAAATTAAGGAATTAAGTAATTAATCTACAAGATTCTGCTACCCCCTGCGAGCAAAATCATCTCCCCCTGGTGACTTGAGAGAGAAGTGCAGGGGGTGCAGGCCTCTGCTTCTTGTTCGAGACAATCAACCCCCTGCCACATTTTCTCTTTCAGCGATAGAGGACGAGTTTGACTTTGCTCTAGGAAAGCAAACTCCAGCCTTCCTGAAGAAGTGTGTTTGCTACATTCGGAAAATCGCTAACATTGAGCGTTTTGTGAAAATCCCAGAGATGGGAAAGTACATGGATATCACTGGCACAGAACCAAGGATGATGCGGGACGCAGAAGCCCAAGAGAAGCTGATAAAACTCAGGGACGAATTTATCCCGACTATTGTCGCGTCATCTAATCTCAGAGTGTACACGTCTGTTACTCATTGTGACATGAAACTGGGCTATTCCCAAGAAATAGAAAATCATTACATAGAAGGACTTGGTAAACAGTTTTATGAGGACATGATCGATATCATTCAGGCAACCGTCCAACAGAATTTTGACACCGAAACTGACACGCTCTACGATGAAATCCTTCAGCATTCCTCATTGTGTAAGACGTACGCCTCCTTCTATGAGTACAAATGTGAACCTCTCAACATCGTGCATAAGTACGTTCTGCCAAGCAAAACTGGGCACATCAACCCTCTGGTCATATACGGAGGACCGTGCACTGGGAAGACGCTCCTGCTAGCCGAAGTAGCGAAGAAGGTGAGAGCCTTTTCTTTCACAAGCTTATTTGTAAAATCCTTTCCTTTGGGGAAAAGACAAATGGGTCAAAATTCACTTCCATCTCTGTGTTTACTACCTGAATGATAATTAGTCTTTTGGAAAGGCGACTTCGGTGTTTCTCTTATGCTGGTATATTGGTCATACGGAAAGAATAAGACACATGGGGTACAGTTAAGAGAACAGCTTTATTTTTATCTCTCCTTGGTCGAACTTATGTTGTGAGGCTAGTTCCCATTTGGATGGGGACTCGGGGAGATCTCACAACTCTTCTCATCCTCTCAGCAAAGACAAGCCCTCCTATCGCTCTGGACACTAAGTCATTCACAGTTCAGCAATTGAATCTGTCCAGTCTAAGAGGATAATTAAAACTCGAGTTTATATTTCTCTCCCGCAGCTGAGGCTCACGATAAGCAAGGCACCTGCCCTGGGAAATCAGGATGTGGTCATCTTCCCCTTCTTTCACCACATAGCACTTCCCCCGCTCCCCTCACCCCCCACCCTGGCCCTAGGGTTGTGGCTTCAGGGAAGTAGGAAAGATAAGGTGGCCAGAAAGTTCTTACATAACCAGTACTGTTGTAAGAACTAGTCTCCACACTCTGTGGTCACATCAGGTGTTTAAAGCTGCCTCCTAATTCTTCTGAGGCCTTTTTCTAGTTTCCTGGACATCCTTTCCCTCCCATCTCTCCTGCCCCATCCTCACTGAGCATCTTATATTATCCACAGTTCCCCCAAACACAGGGGGATGCATTTTTTTTTTTTTCTAGCTGGTCCTTTCCATGGCTTCTAGACACCCAGCCACACACTTCTAGCACCTTTCTGCCAAGATCCACAGCCCAGCAAGCTCCCTCAGATGGGATCGGGGGAAAACAGAACCAACAAAAACCTCCATCAACTCAGTCTTGCCAGTGGCCCACATGTGACACATGGGAAGGACTCGGGTATTTTTCAACCTGGGAAAGAGCAGTTCTCCACCCCTCTTCTATCCGAAGAGCTAGCCAGCCTCGTCAGCTAACCTCCATATTTCTCAGGTGTCTGAGGACATCTGTCGCCCTGGCTCCCTAGCTTTAGGGGACACCCTGTCAGTAGGCCACTGAAGTCTCTTTCCTGAGGTGAGAAGTGAGGGCATTGCTCAGTCCTCCCCTTTGGGAGTGGATGTTAACAGATATGACCCACGGCACCCTAATCTCTAATGTTTTTTTTGGCCTCTTGAAACTCCTTTTTAGTCCCAAAAAAGGTAGCAAAACTGGTTTTCACAACTCCCTTACAAATCTTGCCTGCTGTGTGGAACCTCACTCTGGAATGTAGGGTCTCTTGTCTTGGCATGTCGGCCTAAACTGGACTAAACTAGTTCCGTCGTAACCTCCTTTTGCACTGGACGTCCCTGTCTGATGGTTTCTATTATCTTGGTGTTACCTCAGAATCTCTACATTGTCCTTCCTGTGGTTCTTCTCTCAAGAATAGAGCTTTCTTTAACTCCACAGACACTCTCGTCATCCATCATGTGCTATCACAATCTCAGGGAGGTCATCTTAAAGACAAGAACAGGGATCGCTGTGCTGTACCTTATGTGGGGATTAGGTTTCAAAGTAAGCTCACAGGCAAAAATCTGGTGTATAAACTTACTCTTAAAAAGTCCCCAGGAAAGTTAATTTACCATTTCTTAATATGCCAAGCCCAGCTGCTGGTTTTTCCTCCCCTTTTTTTCCTTCTTCCTCTTCCTTTCCCTCCTTCTCTCCTCCTCCTCCTTCTCCTTCTCCTTCTTTTCTTCTTCTCCTCCTCCTCCTCCTCCTCCTCCTTCTTTTTCTTCTTTTTCTTCTTCTTCTCCTTCTCCTCCTCCTCCTCCTCCTCCTCCTCCTCCTCCTCCTTCTTCTTCTTCTTCTTCTTCTTCCTCTTCTTCTTCCTCTTCTTCCTCTTTTCCTCCTCCTCTTCTCCTTCTCCTCCTCCCCCTCCTCCTCCTCCTTCTTTTTTTTTTTTTTTAAGATTATTTATTTGAGAGAGAGAGAAAGAGAAAGAGAGAGGAGGAGGTAGAAAGAATCCAAACCAGACCCTGCACAGACTGTGGAGCTGGACACAGGGTTCAATCCCATGACACTGAGATCATGACCTGAGCCGAAACCAAGAGCCCAACACTTAACAGACTGAGTCACCCAGCACCCCTGGTGTTTCTTCTGTTGTTAGAAGACATAGTTCTTTTTTAATGGAACACCAGACGAAGTGGCAGGGTTACATTTAGGGGCCATGTTGCATCAAAATAAAGTGTGTGTGTGTGTGTGTGTGTGTACACTAATTTGTATGTGAATCTTCAAACTTTAGAATGTTCCAAGTCAACAGGACAACAGCAGTATGAGGAGCACACGTACAGAAGCTGAAATCTAATGAGAAAACATCCACATACAGCATTTGATCTTCACTCTAGGGCTTTTTCCCTCTGGAAGAGGGAAGGGCAAAGTGGTTGGAGGTGCAAATGTTGTTGGACTTGACTATATTCCCTGTGATGCAAGTCCATGTGTGGTAGCACAGGATGTACAGAATCATGTGGAATGTGCTGATATCCCTGTACGGATCAGCAGACCCTGCGGGGCAGGAGGTGGTGACAGTCGAGTTGGTCAACTTGAGAAATGTTTTTCTGAGCTCTTGCTCTTCTGGCTATTATGTCCAACCACCAGAGTGTGTCTATCCACAGTCCAGAACTCTGGTCCCACAAGAAGCCTCACCTGTTCCTAGGTCCCCTCCCTTACCTGTTCCTAGGTCCCGTGCCGCTGCTCCAATCGCCTTTCCTGGGGTTTGTCTATCCTGCCAACAACAACCTGTACTCTCTTCGTGACTTCATGTCCCTTGTGAGAATGCAGAGAGACGTCTCGTGTTTATCTCGAGGTTATCTCCTGCATGCCCAGCATTTCCATGGACACGAGCTCATGATCAGAGGATCGCTCTCTACACGTTCAACAACATGGGACTGGGAGGAGAGAGGGCAACACATATCATCATCGGAAGAAATCCACACAGGGATGAAATATCATGTTCTGTTTCTGATTTGCCACTGTCGGACAGTTGTAGTAGGATGGCAGGATTAACTTTCTCCGCATGGGCTTCAAGGTTTGGGGCTAAACAGTAACTTGCTCCTTTCCCTTAATAGCTCATTCAGAAACTGACATCCTTTTCCTAAACTTATTCATGCCTTAACCTGAACTATACCTGGAGGAACCAAGTTTCATAAACTTAAAAAACTTCCTCATGTATAAACTGCGTCCTTTCCTAAGCAGTATCCTTGGTGAATTCCAAGGATTACTGAAAGACATTATCTCCCTAAAAATAGACTTTGGGATTTTTTTTTTTATATATACTTTGATCATATCCCTTCTTGTCCTTGCCTTTCCTGCCAGAGAAATTCTAAATTTAACAGCCCCCTTATATATGTTATCTCCTTCGCTCTGCAGTTTGAGGGGAAAAAATACCCTCCAGCTTTGTCTCTTGGTAACCACTTAACTCTGAGCAAGTCATTTATCCGAGTGGACTGGTTTCCTCTTCTGTTAAATGGTACTATAATCCCATCTGCTCCACCTAGAGGTAATGTGAAGACTGATAACTGACTGTAGATACATCATGAGCTGTCATAAAACATAAGGCTTAAAGTTTTAGTCAGCATTATATAGATCTTTACAACAATGAGTAATCAAGAAGATAACCCTATAGCACCACAATGTAGGAAAATGTCTCTGGGTCATTAAGGATTCTATTCAGTATTTTAGTACTATTTTTTTATCACATTCTACTTAGCTAAGAATTTGATCAGCCCTATGGGATCTCAATTAGTGAAGACATTTGACTCCATATAATGTGTAAATCTCTACTTATTCTATTCATTAAACAAATACTTACTAAGCATCTACTGTGAGCCAACCACCATGCCAGGAAACAGGATTCAGTGATGAAAACCTGACCATACTAGATATGCAGATTCACTGTTTATGAAATTCTTTGTAAAAGCTAAGTGCTGCCTTGGGATTGAATAAGACGATTATCATTATTTCATACCTTCAGTAGAGTGATCGTGATGGCCTCGCCTGTAGATCTTAGTGCATGAGCTTTGTGACAGCTCTTTGATCTTCTCAGGTGTGCCTAGTTCCTGGTTCTAGGCCACTGTCTGCAAGGTCAGGGTTACCAGAAGTCTGACCCCTGGAGGGAGGAAATGCTATTGTATGCAACCATGTGAACATATATTACTATTCTAAACACTACCTTTATGTTTCAGGCCTATGGCTGGCTACATGAAGACACAGGACCAGAATCCGACCCAGTAGTCGTCATGAGATTTCTAGGTACCACAGACATGAGTACTGACCTTAAGACTCTCCTTCTAAGCGTTTGTGAACAATTAGCAGTCAACTACCGGTGTCTGGTTCAAAACTACCCTAAGAAGATCCATGACCTCCGTGACTTGTTTATAAATCTTTTGAATGAGTCTTCATTGCAGAGACCTCTAGTAATAATATTCGATGCCCTAGAGCAGCTCTCAGAGAGTGACGAGGCCAGGAAGCTTTGGTGGCTCCCAGCTCACCTTCCCCGCTTCGTACGAATAGTCCTGTCCACACTGCCTAACAGACATGGGATCCTGCAGAAACTGAGGTGCCTTATCCATGAGGAAGCCAACTACATCGAGCTGATTCCCCAGGACAGGAAGATGTGCAGCCAGGTCCTCAAACACCAGCTGCTGCGGGTCAAAAGGAAGGTCACATCAGGCCAACAGATTTACGTGAACAACGCATTCTCCAAGTGCACGCTGCCCATGTTTGTGAACCTGACCTTCAGGGAGGTGAGACACTGGAGATCACACAAAGACGTCGATGAATCCTCCCTGTGTGTCACGGTTCACGAAAGTATAGAGCAGCTCTTCTGGTCCTTGGAGAAGAAGTGTGGTCAGAAACTGGTCTCCAGGGCTCTTGGTTACATCACCATGGCCAAAATGGGTTTGAGTGAAATGGAACTGGAGGATGTGTTGGCCCTAGACAACAGTGTGATGAATGAGCTCAATGAGAACGCCAGGCCCAGCAATCCCCTGAGAGTACCTTACCTGTACATTGCAAGGCTCAAGGATGGTCTCAGTGGATACTTAATAGAAAGACACGTGAAGAACGTCACACTCCTGGTCTGGGCCAATAGACACCTGCAGCTCATAGCCCAGAAGTTGTATCTGCAGGATGACGGCGACCTGCGTGAAATGCACGCCATCCTGGCAGATTACTTTCTGGGAGTCTGGTCAGGGGGCAGGAGGAAAGCTTTCTGCCTTGAGGACCCCTACTTGAACGGCTGCCTTGACCCGGAGAGCAGAAGCTTGCTTGAGGAAGAGAAGCACTTCATGGAACAGGCTTCCTTTGATAGGCAGGCTCCAGACCAGCCCTGGGTTTTCCAGTGTAATCCACTGGAGCCTGACATCTTCTTCGTCAATCATCGGAAAATGTCTGAGCTCTTGCACCACCTGACAAGGTGTGGAAAAACCGATGACCTGCTTTACGGGATCATCATGAACTTCAGCTGGCTTTACACCATGATCAAAATCGGCCAGTTTGACAAAGTGCTTTCAGACATCGAGCTGGCTTACAACTACTCACAAGAGAAGGAGCTGAAGTTCCTGGCTAGCACTCTCCGCGGCATCAAAACCAAGGTCACTGCGTTTCCGGGCTCGCTTTCCGCAGAGCTTCAGCAAAGGCTGCTGCCTGTTGTGAGTTCCCTACCCAAACTTAGACATCTCCTTTTAGAATGTGACAAAGATGGGCCCAAATATTGCTCCATTGTGCCATTACATTCATCCATGGATGTGACATATAGCCCAGAGCGTCTCCCCTTGTCCTCTAGTCACCTTCACGTCACCGAGATTCTGCCTACCTGTAACCCCAGTACTGTCCTCACAGCTCTAGAGAACGGCTCCATCAGCACCTGGCATGTGGAAACCCGTCAACTCCTCCGGCAGATCACCACAGCCCAGTCTGTCATCCTGGGCATGAAACTCACCAGTGATGAAAAGTATCTTGTGGTGGCCACGACAAATAACACCTTGCTGATTTACGACAATGTAAACTCGTGTCTTCTGTCTGAAGTGGAAATCAAAGGCACCAAGCACGGAAGCAGCTCCACCTACATCAATGGTTTTACCTTGTCCGTCAACCACGCCCTGGCATGGCTTGAAGCCAGCAAAGATGTCACCGTCATCGATCTGCTCTACGGGTGGCCCCTTTACCAGTTCCACTGCTGGTACGAAGTGACCTGTGTCCAGTGCTCTCTGGATGGCATGTATGCTTTCTGTGGACAGTACCTGAACACCACCACCATATTTCATTTAGGGAGTGGAGAAAAGTTATGCACGGTGACTTCTGAATTTTCCGGGGGGTTTGTGAAATTCCTCCTCATCTTGGACACGGCTCAAGAGATGGTAATGGTGGACAGCGAGGGAAGCCTTTCGGTTTGGAATACTGAGGACATTTCCAATCCCCAGCTGACTGATGACTTCGACTGCCGAAGAGAAGACAGTGAGGTGGTCAGCGTTGAACTCTCGGAGGACCAAAATGCGATTCTGATCTGTAAAGCCCTCAGCATCGAGCTCTTAGATACCAGCATGTGGAAGGTGGCCGAGAAGTTCAGAGCTAAGCACAATGAACGCTTTGTATCTGCCGTGCTGTCCAAAAACGGGGACTGCATCATCGCGACCATGGAAAATACCTCAGCTGTGTTTTTTTGGAGGCGGGACACTGGGCAATGTATGGCGAGCTTACAGGAAATCTCAGGTACCATAGTCAAGCTGGTGAAATCCAGTCACCACAATATGCTGCTCTCTTTGTCAACCAGTGGTGTTCTTTCCATCTGGGATATAGACATAATCACCGCCATGTCCAACATAGATAAGACTGGGAAACCCATCCAAAGCCTGGTGTTACCCGCCAGAGGGGAAATCATTTATTCCCTCGATGGCTCGGATTGTGTCCATAAGTGGAACTTCAGCAGCGGCTTCCTTGAGGCAGTTTTCAAGCACGAAGGGATAGTCGAGCACTGCGTGCTGACATCCTCTGGAGATGTCATGGTGACATCAGATGACAAAAGCAGTCAGTACGTCTGGCACACCAGCAGCGGCGAGAACCTCTTCCGAATTAACGGGCAGAGAATATCTCAGCTGCTGATAACCCACAATGACCAGTTTGTGGTCTCTCTCTGTGAGGAAAATGCCTCCAGGGTCTGGAGACTGGCCACAGGCCACAGGGTCTGTAACATTCTGACCACTTTGCAGAATGCCTTTATAACCTCAGCAAATACCTTTGTGGTGGGCATGACCCAGAGCAAAGTGCTGGCTGTCAGTCTCTGGACGGGAAGCATCACTAAGAAATTCTGCTGCGAAGACGGCACCACCATCGTGAATTTTAAGCTGATCCCCGACTGCCCTGACATCATCGTGTTTATCACGTCAGCCGAGACAGTGAATATTTGGAGTCTGACAGATGAAGTCATCTGTCGCCGCGTGCAGCTTCCGAACAACTTCTTGAAAAACCTGGAGGATTTTGAGATCTCTCCCAACGGCAAGCTAGGCATTATATCCAGGGGAGACGAGAATATCAATGTGCTGGACTTACACAGCGGTAAACTACGGGTGGTCCACGCCTCTGGGGTCATCTGGAGGCAGAGGCTGTCTCGAGATGGTCGCTACCTGGTGTACATTTGTTTCCGAAACGGGGAGGAAGAGGACGAAAACGGTGCGATATCCAGTCTGATTGTAATGAGACTGGCCGATGGCAAAAATATCGGTGCTTGTTCCCTTTACAAAACACCAACTTTTCTTGCCCTCTCACAGAGACACCTCAACATCATAGTGGGTTTTGACGACGGGAGCATAGGGATATACACAGTGGTGGACCGCGTAGACGCCGCACTGAAAATTAAAATCGCCACTTCAAACAGCAGACAGATTTTCAACAACGCGACACAGGCGTCCAGGCCAAAGTGCAGTAGTTACTGTTTCAAGGTGTCTGTGGACTGCTTATGGAGAGAGTCTACTGAGGTCTTTGCGAGAGACAGTCCCATCACGGTGAGTGACTCCTCTGAGCCCAACGAGGTGACGCCATCCAAGAAACACAACCCTTGCTATGACCGGGTGGGCTCAGCCCTAGAGCCCAGGGGCCACAGCTACACCCCTGACAACTGACAAAACGTTCTTCTCACTCAGCAGACATGCACGATACACACACACAAGGAAGAAAAAAGGAAGTATCTTCTGTCTCCCAAATGATAAACTACTCCTTTCTTTAAAGACAGGAAAGATGCTGGAGTTCCAGCGTTCACATGCTCGCCAAAAGGACAAACACGAAATCGGTTTTGAGTTGGCTCTTCTTGTCAACGTTAATCCAGGAATGATGCTTTGACAGAGAATTTCTAAAAATGGTGTTTGACTGGATATTTTTTATGTTCGCTGGGTGGGAAGCAGCAACATAACTCATTCCATGGGCTCGGATGACGGAGGCTAGAACCATATACAGACCCCTCGGACTGGAATGAGTGCTACAAAAATCATCTGGAATTGCAAACACGAAAGAGCCGTTTGACCTCCAATGATTGTGTGGCCGTAAGTAAACACAGCCTTAATCTCTCCTTACATTTTACAATCCTGACAACTGTGTAAACCCAGTCTGCAGATGGGAGGTCAAAGGTGCAAAATCACGTAACAAAAATGCCCCCTTGCATCCCTAGTTTCCCAGGAGAAAGGACGTGAAATGCGAGGCCACGCACTGGACTGGGCACAAGTACTAAGTACCACTCTCATAGGGCTACTGAGCACACTGTCAGTCTTCATTAAGATACAGTTGAGACAGCCGCATGCAAGGGTTTCTGTATAACGGAACATACGATTTTTAAACTAATTCCTGGGCTGCGAAAGAAACATGTTGAATGAGAAACCACAGTCTTTTCATGTCTTTCTGAAATGCCTATTTGTGCTGGGCGTTAAAGTGGAATTATAGAAAGGGCATTATAAATTTGGTCAAGACATCTGTTCATTTCCATCACTGTACTAACAAAAGTCTGGGCTATCCGGTCAGTCGTTATGGAAGCATACATTATTTCCTCAATCCCTGCAGTAAATCTTAACAGAAAGAAAGCTTTCATGACACGCCATCTATGAAATACTGAAGACATTTGCCTTACTCTCATGCCTCCTATCTCCTGTGTAAAATGCAGACATACGACCAAATATTCGGGGACAAGCTGAACATGCCTGTCTTTGTGCTAAACTATTCCCCAAATCTTAAGGGTGTCCAAAGGTTCCTTCTTGTCCCTGTTTGTAATCACTTTCTTACTTCCCCACTCTATATGTAGGCTTCTTCCTCTGTCACCCTTTCTGGTGGAGGGCTCCCCGGGGCCTTTATAGTCTTAAATACTTTTTAAACACTACTTCACCTACTTAAAAGAAAATATCACATCCCAGAAGGGGGAAAGTGATTTTCTTCCTTCCATAGCCTCCACATGGCCTGTCCTTGGATGACTTTTAGAAGGGTATCAGCAGTGCTCAGTTGCTTTGAAAGTGACGGGAAAGTGACTTGTGGCAGCAGAATGAGGACCAAGAAACTGATGTGCTCTCAGCCCATCTCCGCCATGAACTCACCACGCATCCGCAGGCAGATCTTCAGCGGCGAGATAAAGGGAGTGATAGCTTTTGCTCCAGCCCTAATAGGGATGTTGGGGAGGAATGTGAGGAAAAAGACAGTGACATCTTGATTGTTTTTGCAAATGGAGAAGCAAAGTGAGCGGATCCGAAAGGAATGCAAGCTCATTGCATTTCACTGCGGAAAGCAAGTTGACGTGTAAGCACACAGAGACGGGATTCAGACATAAACACCCCACTCAGTGGTCGAAGACTTTTTTTCAGGATCTTCCTCCTGGTCCAGCTACCAGCCAGAAAGGGGGGTAGCCCGGCGAAGTCCCAGCCCATGTAGAGATCACCTGGAGTTGTATGAGTCAGTGCTTTTTTTTTGTCTTTAGCTCTTCTGAGGCAACACATTCCTATTCCTGTCCTTATCAGTTGGACCTCCATGCCGCACATTTCTAAGAATTAAATGCCTAGATGGATTAAATGTAGTGTGTGAATATTCTGTGTAACAGCCAATAGAGTTTAACAAGTGACTTGAATGATTTTTCCTAACTTGTTTGCAACTGATAGCTCATATTGAATGTTTTTATGTAAACTTTGTATTGTTGGGAAGAATTACCCAATCAGAGATTTATATTTTCATAAATGTTACATTTAGTTAAATTTTGTTACAGAGTTGTTACACTAGAAAATTATTGCCGTCTTCAAACAATGGACAGTCTTGTGTATGTATTGTTTGTATGAATAAAAGGTAAACTAAGATTTCCGTGGAGTTTTTCCTCCCCAACTTTTGCAAGTGTAGGGATTTTCAGAAATAATAATAATACTACTAATAATAATATGCTTACTATACACCAGACTCTATTTTTGGAGCTTTGTATGTACTAAGCCGGGTAATCTTCACAACAGCCTTATGAGGTAGGTACTGTTAGTATTTCAAATTCAGAGATCTAAAAATCTAGAAACAGAGGCCCAGGGGGAGTCACTGAATAGGATTTCAATACACCATCAATGTGCTGTTTGTTACCTTTCCCAAAGCACACAAAATACAGCATTGAGTATCCCGTAGGCACTTTCTGATAATGGCCTACAAAATGTTTTCCAACTTGCAGGTTAGAGAAGAGGCGAGGCTCTGAAGATCACCAGAGGGCTTTGCAAACTTCCAGGAGTTTCAAGTAAACCAAGAGTGCGGATGTATTCATTTAGCAAAGTTATTTGGTCACGCATTTTGCCAGGAATGCAAAGGTTAGTAAAGTAGCTTGTGCCTTCTAGGATTTCACAGTCTTAACAGGAAAACAGACAGGAAACATGTTCTATGGGTAAGTGCAAGGACAGTGTGCATCCTTCTGGGGCTTGGGGCTAAGGTAGGAAGAATTAGAAGCAAGGAATTGTCCTGCTCACAAACTGCCTCCAGGTGAGAGGGCAGGACAAGGGGGATCTTCCTCCCATAGGCACCTTTTTCCATTTCTTGCCTCTGGGAATTGACAATCCTCTCTCACATACACACACACACACACACACACACACTCACAAAAAATTTTTTTAAACAAGTTAGCAATGAAGAGCTTACGTGAGGATAACTAGAAAATAATTGGATGAAAACTTTATATCCAGTTTCATGAAATAACCATTCTCAGAGAAACTTAAAATCGAGACGTTAAGAAAAAAAATTGAAGAAATTATCTATCTGGTTTCATCTTTATGTGGTTGAGATGTATTTCTGTTTAGAGTTTATTCCCCCTTGGAAACTTTCCTTAATTACACTACCACGCCGGGAATTCCTTCTTGGATTCTAATCTAAATCCTTTAGGCTGAAGGTTAAGTCTTCCCTCTCAGGTCGGAGAAAATGGATCATCAGTGCTTGCATAAAACCATTTCGTACACACGGAGTTTGTTGTTTAACAAACTTAGATATCTTCTTTCCCAGGGTCAGGAATGCAACAAATACCGTGTGTTTGCTTTGTCCAAGGCCTTGTGCTTATGCCCTAGGATGATCTAAAAGTGAGTCACGAACAACCCCTGCCCTCCAGAATCCTACAATCTAAAGGAGACGCAACTAAATTAGATGTAAGACGGACTGTGATTTAAAAAAAAAAAAAATTGTCAATAAAAGTGAAAAGCAGATACTGAGACTACACTGCAGAGGAGCAATTAACTTGAACTGGGATTCAAAAAGAATGGCCAAGAGGAGGGGACAGTGGAGGCTTGGAGGACAAATGGCACTTAGCTGTCAGAATGTCAAAAAGACATCGCAGGTGAAGGAAGCTGCGTGAAGACAAACAGGGAACAGGGAGAGTCAGTATATACTATGGATGACTTTGGAAGCTATGTTGGCTTTTTAACTTGATTCTGGGGGCGCCTGGCTGGTTCAATCCATACAGCATGAAACTCTCGAACTCAGCCAATGTCATATACTTTTTTAAATTGTGGGGTTTTTTTTTTTAGAACCACATGGACAAATTTAGAAGCCTATTGACAAATCCGCTCAAACAAATTAGTTTTCCTATCTTCCCTGACTCACCGGTTGGAACGATTTATATGCCAATGAAAACACGAACACACCTAAAACACTCACTGAATCATGGTGTTTCACTCCCACGTGCATCCAGAAACCATGGATTTTTTCCTTCTGTGTTTTTCACAAGGGTCCCTTCACAGCTGCATTTGGCATTCCATGTGATCTGCATGGAGTACAGATAACACACATATGGACAGGTTGGGGGTTTCGTTTCAGTGTAACAATATGACAAATTATATAACACCTAATTTAAGATTCCCGATGACACCACCACCTCCGGCTTTAAAGAATCCCTGCCTTTGAGAGATGAAGGTAACCCAGCCAGCTGCTTCAGCATATTCAGAGCAGTGGTTCTCAAACTGGAGTGTTCGGCAAAACACAGATTGCTTCACCCTCCCTATCCCCAATGATTTCAGAATCTGTATGTCTGGGGTAGAGCCTCCAAAATTTGCATTTTTACTGAATCCCTCCAGATGAAGCTGATTCCACTAGCCTGGGAACCACACTTCAAAACCTAAGATAAATACCAATGTCTTTTTGGTCAGAGTAACTTAACGGATAAACGTATCAGTATTCTGTGGGCGTTACTAAAGCATCCACTAGAAGTTGGACACGACAACTTCTTTATTGTGACGAAGGATTTTACCAAAAAATGATGTAAACTAGCATGTAACTTCCCTCTAAATCTATCATTTTAAAGCATGCAGCTACTACGCGACTGGCAAGATGCCCAAAAAATGAGTTTGCTCCCGTAAAAGGTGGTAGATGTGTAAATGGGGCTGGAATCCCTAAAATGGGCCCGTTAGAAACTAAGGACATTATGTCCGTCTTTAAATAATACTCTGTCCTATTCCGCAGCAGCCTGTTTTATCCTCACTCTCCTGGATAACTGGAAGGGGAGAGAAGAGGGTAAGCTAGATGGCGCAGTTGCTCAACACATTTTCCTGTCAATCCCAACTTGCGGACACAGGTGAAAAGAACTTGCGACACCTAAGCAGTATTTTCGGGTAAAGCCACCAGCTCGCCACCCTCCTTACGTGCGCGCACTGCAGCAAGGAGGGGCGTGGAGCTCGGGAGGTGTGGACACGGTGTTGCAGCCGGGGTTCCAACAGCCCAGGAAAAGAGAGGGAAGTGGGGGAGGGGAAGCAGGCCCTCGTCGAGCTCCCATTGTGGTCTCGAGTGTGCAGGCGAGGCGAGTGTGTGCAACTTCCCTGCGAGTTACATAACGACAGCGTCCGCACGGTGTCCCCGACCCTCTACTCGGAGAGCGCGGGCAAGCGATAGCGCACACCACCAGGTGGAAACAGAAGAGGCTGGAACCCTAAACACAAAAATACGGGGTGAAGGGGTACAGATCTATTCGCCCGGGGCCAAATTTCCGCATGTCCCCCACTGACGTCCCGAATCAGAGCAGTCTCCCCTCTCCCTCCAGCAGGACAGAGAAGTAAGCGCCCAGACGCGTCCCGGCACGGGCAGACGGTGGGCACACGCCCCGGCCGTTGCTCCGCGGAGAGGGCCAGCCCGGCTCCAGGGGTCGCGCGGCCGGGAGCTCCCCGCGCGGCTCGGGGCGCGCAGGTAAAGGGTTACGCGTGCCGGGGAGGCTCGCCCGCCGGCCGCGCCACGTGACGCGCCGGCCCAATGACTGTGCCGGGGCGGCCGCTGCGAGCGCGGCGGGCTCCGGGCTGCGCTGAGCCGCTGGCTTTTCCCGGCGCGGCCGCCCGAGGCCGGCGAAGCCATGGGCGCCGCGACCCCGCCGCCGCCGCCGCCGCCGCCGCCGCCGCCCGGCCCCAGGTAGGGACGGTCCCTCGCTCCGCGCATCCCGCCCCGTCGCGGGCTTGCCTCCTGCCCCGCTCGGCTTGGGGGCAGTTTCCCCCACTTTCTCGCAGGTCGTTTTTATTTCTTTACTTCCTTCTGACGGGGGCTGGAAATGGGGCGAGGCAGGGCTCAGTTTGATTACTTCGGAAAAGTCACAGAATTCAACAAAGGCACGGAAAGGGAGGCCAGATCCAGCGCCCACGGGGTGCGGGAAGGGGGGACGGCGGACGTGGGCGGCACTTCTACAGATGCCCCAAACTCAACACCAGGACAGTTGGGAAAGCTGGCATCTCCGTGCTGTGTGAAACAGTTCTGGTTTAAATCCCTAATTAATGAACTTTCAGCGGCGCCCGAGAACTTGAGTTGGAAAAACTGCAAGAGATTGTCCCTTATTTCTAAGTGCCCCCCCTCCCCCATTTTTAAACATCTGAGCGTTTTCGAATAAAACGGAAATGGAATGCTGACCGCCGCTGTTTCTTTGAAATGTCCTTGGGTCCCAGGATTTGCTCTGGTGGGGGTGCTGGCGCCCTGGGTGGCGGTGGTGGGAAGGGAAGGGGTGGGGCGGAGAGGGTGCAGCGCTAGGAAGCTGCACGTGTTGAAGGAGCGTATCAGGTGCAAACTGTTAAATGGTTACAAACTGTTTGTTGAATATTTAATAATTAGGCAAGCATCTCCCGGGTCGATTGCTTGGGTCTCATTTGACCTTGGCAGCCCTGATGAGGTGAGATTTTCACAAACCACCACTGAAGAATTTTTCCAGTGATACAAGACAGATTTTTAAATCATTGGGACTTTTTTTGCCCCCTCCAGAACTGTAATTAACCTCAAAAACAAAACAAAAACTCCCTTTAGTAACTTAGTACATTTCATTTTCCATTGTGGTATAGACTTTTGCCCAGTGAATTTAGAGGAAGTCAGTGTTCCAGGAGGTGGTTCAGATCATTAAAGAATAGGGTGTTTTTTTTTTTTCCCGACTCGGTGAGAATTACTGGTGGCGCTTTTCACACGGCTTATGAGTGTCCTGGGTGGGCTGTACTCACACTGTTGTGAGGAGCAAGGCTGTAGAAAAGATGAGAAACATTTGAGAGTTGAATCAGAAAGAAATAGAAAGTGGTCGCTGCTTTTAAACACAATAAATTTTGTTTATTCCCACAAAAATGTTCCACTTATTCCCACACCTAATCCTCCGGTTAATATTTTAAGAAGACAGATGTTAAGGTTCTGATGCTGCACACCAGTATCTACAGAACACCTCAGCGGTCGCGAGGCAGGTCTTTGAAACTGCGCTTTGAAGCTCTTCAGGCTAAGTGGGACTCTGGGGTTCTTTATACTTCCGTAACGTGTGAAGAATCAGATATAGATAGGAAGCTGCCTTGATCACAACAGGAATGGAACAGACATGATGAATACAGGAGGTGGGGTTGGACTTATTTCTCCTCTTTGCTCACTCCGTGTTCATCCTGGTCCTGCTCTATCTGTTCGGCAAGTATGTGGTAAGTGCCTGTCTCGTGGCATCTGGCCCCAGGGCCTGGTCCTTAATGGTTCTAAAGGTTTCCATTTCCAGTGACATCTAAAGATAAATGGGACCCGTCTTTGCAATGTTCTAGAGCTTGTGAATATCTAGATTAAAACCAGATAGAAACTTGCATGTCATGTAAGTATGTTCAGTAGCCTAAAAATGGAATGATTCTCCTGACTTCCCACCTCATATCTTTCTGAGCTTGGAAACACAACCTAGCCAAGTTCTGGCCAGAACCACATCCCAGCCCAAGGGCAGTGCAGATACTTGCCTTCCTTCCTCCTGGAACTGCCCTGCCTTTGGGCCCTCAAGAGCCCATTTACTGAGCTTGGAAGGGATTCCAGTCTCCCAGTAGGTGGGTTTCCTCCACCTGGCCTTGCAAATTCCTTTGGTTTCACAATGTTTCCAGTAACCCTGAATCTTGGCTTCTTTTGAGGTCTTGGTTAAATAGTACCTAGCCCCTGCCTGCCCTTTTTTTTTTTTTTTTGGTGGGAGGGGTGGGTCATTAGATTGATTATCTGGTTGCAGGTAGACTTTCTAGATACCTAGAAAAGAAGAGTCAATGCACTCATCCTAGGGGAGGATACACTTGAGCTGTCACCCATCTGCGGGTCAGATGGTTCACTCAGTTGTAGCCTTTCTTAATGTGGTCAGCACCTGAATACTGTTGTAAGAGAATGACATGAAAATGAAATCTGTTACCTACTCACACTCCCCTTTCACCTGAGAATATCCTGGTCCCATAGAGTTTGGAATCTTCAGAAACACTATATATCATCAAAATGACCCTATCCTGGGACACCTGGGAGGCTCAATCTGTTAAGCATCTGCCTTTGGCTCAGGTCATGATTTCAGGGTCCTGCGATAGAGCCCCATGTTGGGCTCCCTGCTCAGCGGGGAGTCTGCTTCTCCCTCTTCCCCTCTCCCCTGCTGTTCGTGTACATTCTCTCTAATAAGTAAAATCTTAAAAAAAAAAAAAAGACCCTATCCTAAGACTTAACATAGCCATCAGGTGAACATGTGTCCTGAAGCAGATACTTAATGAGAAGTGAAAACACTAGCTCAGTGTGATCCAGCATCTTGGGAAAGATGTTCCTGAGCTGCAGCGAATATTAAAAGAAAAAGGAGTCGGTCTCAAATTTTACCCCGAGCAGCGAATTCCGTTCTACTCAGTGGACACGTGGCTCTCCGAAATGAAGAGAAACCCTTCCCTGACCTTGGAGACAGCAAGTTTGTAAGGCCAGAGATAATCAGACACACATTCAGTGGGGTGCTAGGGGCACCGTCCTTGCCTTCAGGGACCTTGCTATCTTCAGATAAGCCAACGGAGCATTTTAGGCAGAGCAGCTCTGTTTTTAGAAAGTTTTCTCCGGGGGGGGGGGGGGGGGCGGGGGGGGCTCAGTGGGTTGGGCCGCTGCCTTTGGCTCGGGTCGTGATCTCGGGGTCCTGGGATCGAGCCCCACGTCGGGCTCTCTGCTCGGCGGGGAGCCTGCTTCCTCCTCTCTCTCTGCCTGCCTCTCTGCCTGCTTGTGATCTCTCTGTCGAATAAATAAATAAAATCTTAAAAAAAAAAAAAAAAAAGTTCTCTCCGGCTGTGATGAGAAGACTGAAATGGGAAGGATCCCAGCAAGGCAGCTGCTGTAACACTCCACCCGAGAGGGGAGTGAGAAGTGAATTGATTCTGAAGGTACTTAGCAGGACAAAGTTATTGGGGACATCAAGCCAAGAAAATATGGGGGTGACTCAAGTCTCTGCAGTTGATTTCCATGTCTTTTCAAAATACATCTGTTGCAGGCAGGTAGCTGCCTGCCACGTGCTTTCCCTTCTACGGATGTTACTCTCGGGCTGCATGCCCTTTGTTTCTATCACGGGGAAAGGTGTTGATAAAGAATGAGCCAAGTATAGTTCTTACTTTCAACAACCCAGCGCTGCTTCACGCAGACTTAAATGCGTACATCTGAAGGCCAAGTTAGGATCAACGGTTACCCTCATTCTGCATGCACACTCACCAATTTAGCTCAACTCCTTCTAGGAATAAAAACACCCTGACTCTTGACTGGGTAGCTGTCGTCGAGGGGGACAGCTGGGCAGCATGACGTGTGTCGCCATGTGCAGAAATGCCATGTCAGAGTGCACCCCAGTGGGACACACGAGGCACTGAGGGCCTGCAACAGAGGGACAGTCACCTCCGTCACTGCCCCACGCAGAGCTCTATCATGCAATGTGTATTCGGATTTATGGGTGATTCACTTATTTCGGAGTCCCAGAGTCCATCTCTATACCCTAGAGCTTGGACATTTCTTGTGATTTTGGTGGTATGTCTTTTTCCTTCCATTTGGTAATTGAGTGCAAACCTTGGGTCATTTACATGTGATTAAGATTGGGTCTGCATGTCACGGCTGTGAAGCATTAGCCCTCTTCTTTGGTGGTCAGAGAGCCAATAGGCTCACCTCCCAGATTCTGCATAAGGCCGTTAGGATCAGTGTGAGATGGAGTCATAACCAGCTGCTAAACACCAAAACCAATATAGCAAAGGTTGCCTGTGATGACATTCTGCGTCGGCAAGACAGGAAAAACTGGGTTCAGAACCGTCTGTTAGCAAGGAAGTAAGTGTCGCATTCTGGAAAAGTGCACCCTCAATCCTTTTTAGAAACAGAAAAGAACTTTAAAAAAATCACTTGTTCTGAGCACCTTAATTTAGAGGAAACTGAGGCTCCGAGAGGTGAAATGAGGTCATACGGTCATCTAACACAAAAACTGCTGGGACCACATCCGAGAATCCCAATTCCCAGTGCAGTCACCTTGCGACTACTGGCTGAAAAGGACAGATTTTAGTGGTATGGGAAGTCGATTCTTTGGTTAAGTAGCTTTTCCCCAAAATATTATAACAGCCACTATTTATGGAGAAATTACTTACATAGAATATCGATTCTCTGTTGCTGTGTAACAAACCAGTCCAAAAATGTAGTAGCTGAAAATGGCTACTGTTGATTTAGTTTATGACTGTGTGGGTCAACAGTTGGGGCCTGGTTGGGGCACTGGACTTGTCGGACTCCCTCATGCATCTGTCACAAGGCAGCCCTGCCCCTGCCACCGGGGCTGGTTCACTTGTTCACCACCTACTGGCCCAGGGCAGCACGAGGGAGTATGGAAGTTGTGCTCCTTGAAGCCCAGGCTGAGAGGGACCCAAGCTGCTTTCTTCTCCTCCAGTCTCCTCTAAAAGCCAGTGAGGAGGCCAGCCCAGATTCAGAAGGGATCTTCTTTGACGGGAGGAACAGGCAAAATCAGCTTAGAGAACAGGAAGGCTTTGGGGAGGGGTGGGGAGTCATGATCATTTTTATAATCTACCGCATTGGCCAAGCACTCGCATAACTTAACGTAAGTTAATTTTCCCAACAACGCTTGAGGTGAAGGCAGAAATCCTATTTTACAGGTGAAGACACTGGGACCCAGACAT